CTTTGGAAATTGTATGAATTTAAAGCAAGTACAATGTATTATATATTGTCCGACAGAAACAACCAAAATATATAATTATTCTATTATATAATTAATAGCGTATTTCTAATATTATACATAATAATAACAATATTTAAGTAAATAATGTGTAAATTAGAGAATATTAATATTCCACGTTTCACCTGTATTTTGTCATAACGTCATATGATAGCACTACGAAATTAAAAATTTTATAGTTCATGAAATTAACATTACTATTACTACACAAAATACTTTTACGTTAAATGAATGCAAAACTTTACTATTTCTTTAAAGAGGAAATTAAACTATTTATGAATAAAAATTACACCAAAGAATGTTTAAGTGTTTATAATTACTTTATGCTATTAATTTAATAGTATTAAATATGGTATATAAGATATCAAAAAAATTAACATTATATATGAGTATAGATTAAAAACATTTAGTTAAATAAAAAATATAATTAACAAAAACTTTTAAATTCAAGCGATTTTTGTGAAGAATGCCGTAATTGTTGACGTTTTTGATGAAAAAGACCATAAAATAGCATCAATTGAATGATACAAACATAACATTCAATGAAAATACATTAAATTTAATATAATTTAATTGTCATTCAGTAACACTTTGTGACCAAATGTATGAACAAAGCGGTGGTAATGAGTGGCCATCGATGGCACCATTGGTGCAGACAATGGGTTATAACAATGATATGAACGCAATGGCAATGAATGGCTCACTTCTGACACCAAATCAACAAAACATCAATCATTTGATGCCTTATTATAACCAAAACCACGGCTTTAATCATCACTCGAGTCAACAACAATACAACACTAACTTTGGCCACAATTATCGGCCGCCACTTCTTCAGCACCACTCCAACCAACAGCCCATCAACTCTTCGTATGGGAACCAATCGTACGGCCAATCGATGTCACAGCAGACACATCCGCCGCAGACACCCATTCAGCAGACATTTCATCACCAAAACCATAATCTCAGACCCATTGGTGTCATGGCTTACGAGGACAACAGTTGGCACAATCGGCTCAACGACACGCAGAGGCAAGTGTTGGATCAGCTGAACAAAGAACAGGAGGCCTTCGACCAGACGTTCAGGAAGTGGGAGACAGACTTCGAGAACTGGAAACAAGCGAATCGATTGCATCCAGACGTCAACGCTTACCACTCGTATGTCAGCCAATGGCAGGACTGGAGACACAAACTCGTTGAACGACAGCAACAGATGCAAGAACTCAGACAACGAACTCTTCAGCAGCTCTACTCACAGGTCATACAAACGCAGCCATTAGTACCGCCGCCACCGCCTCCCGAACCCACACAAGCTGTGCCGCAATCTCAACCGCCGCCACCGCCCGACCCCTCGCCATCACAATCTCATAGACGTCCACCGCCTCCGCCGCCACCCAACCCATCGACAGCACCGCCTCCACCGCCACCGCAGTCCTCGTCGTCACCCCTTAAATCGATTTCATGTGAAACACAAAACAAGTTTAAATCAAATGGAAATCAATTGAATACCAATTCAAATAAGACTCAGAAGAACGCAGACGAAGAAAGTCTCGTGTATTCAATGTTTAGAGACGAGTCCAACGATTCAATTGAAATAATCAGTGAGAAGAAGAAAGACAACGAAATGACTAAAACTCAAAGCAAAGATGAGTTCCAAAAGACAGCTGAACCACAGAAGAACAGTGAAGTGAACGTCTCGTCCAACGACATCACTAAAGCTGCCGAAGACATGCGATTCATTCAAAAACAACAGGAATTTCTTAAGAATTTAGAAAAACTAAATACAGTGTCGACTAATAGGCCGACAAATGCAACAAATAGTGACGATTTGCAAGTAATTGATGGCCCGAAAGGGTTTGATGTGAAAGATATTGTGACTAAAATGAAAGCCATTCGTCCGCCGGAGAACCCGAACCAATCCAACAATATTTTATCCGAATTGCCATCACTTCAGGGAATAGTTATGAACCCAAACCAAAGTTTGCCACAATCTAACTATGGTATGCAATCCGTGAGATACCGGCCACCGATGGATGTGCCGCATAATAGGGCCCAAAGGCCGCAATTTGCCAGCAGTGGTCACAACAACAGACCCCCAGTGCAGCACAACTTAGCGAATGCCACTCAAAGGTATCCACAACTGAATTCTTTTGGTCCCAATTCGGCCCCAAATCAAGTGCGCGTATATTCGGCGCAAACCATAGATTATAATCACAGTCGACACGAAAATAGAGATTTCCAGCAAAGAGATCAGCCGTCCGTTGATTCGCATTCAAATTATCCGCAAAAATCATTTGAACAAACATTTGACAATAATTTTGGCATTAATAGTGAAATGAATAGAAATTTTGGATTTGAAAATCGAAATAACGATAATTTAAGGAATAATGCATTGAATAATCCACAGAAATTGCCAATCATTCCTATATTCCCTTCCGTTGAGGAGAACATCAATTATCGTGATATCCGTTATTTCGCTCAACCGAAGAATCGGATTCTAGTGATCGACGATCTCCTCACTCCTCCCACCCGTGAGTTTAGGCCAAAGCATATTGCGATCATTTTGCGAGGACTTCCCGGCTCTGGGAAGTCATATATCGCTAAATTGATTAAAGAGAGAGAAGCGGAGTTCAGTGCAAGCCCTCCACGAATACTCAGTATTGACGACTACTTTATGGTTGAAGCGGACAGCGATGTGAAGGACAGAGAAACCGGCAAATCGACTAAAATCAAGGAATTTGTCTATGAATTTGAAGCCGATGTGGAAGCGACTTATCGGACAAGTCTTCTGAAGGCATATAAGAAGACGTTAGACGACAAGAATTACTCATTTGTTATCATCGATTCCATCAACGAATTAGTAACAGATATTGAGGACCTTTACAGTTATGCCATAAAGAGTTCGTTTGTTGTGTATGTGATTGAAATGGATTCAAGCAATCCATCGGTTTGTCATCAAAACAATATCCATAATAGAAAAGTAGAAGAAATTCAATTAATTTATAAGAAATGGCAGAAATTGCCTGAATTTATGCTCCGTTTGGACGTCCGATCACTTCTGCAAAACGTTTCGATTAAAAATATTGAAATGGAATCCAATTGTAATACAAGTGATGAAAATCTCAAAAGAAAAGTCGAAACCGAATCAGAATTACCTGAAAAGCAATTGAAAACATCGGATGAAGACCTGGAGAGCGAAAGCTATAATAACAGCCAAAGTTCATCATTGAGCCGATGGGAGCGCATGGAAGCGTCCGAAGCGAAGTTAGATCGACTCGATTCATACAAAATGAAGACCAAACCAACGTTTGACGACTTCTTACAATCGGAGCATCCGTACGAGAATAGACTCTCAGACGGCCAGAAAGGGGTTCGTTGGGCGGACATCGAGGAGAGGAAACTACAGGAGCGCAGCAGTCAAATAGGGTTTGTTGTCGGACAACAGAATTGGCAGTATTTGGATGACCAGCGCTGTCAACGAGCCCTCACACAAGTCTTTTACTTCTAACTCTTGTCTTTGTTGTACAGAATTGTGCATTCATTACATAAATGTCGGAAATCATGCAACACTTGTTGTTTCAATAACTTTATACAACTTTTTCCATTCAATGTATTAATAATTTAGTTTTTTGTCAATAAAATTTTGAATAACTACAACAATTGTTGCAACTGTGCTGTCAATAGAACTGGTCCATCACTTTTGGTTCACAACTTAGAGGTGTTCATAGCATAGAATTTATTTAAAATTTATTTATTGATAAAAATCACATATTGTTTATAAAAAGAATCAGTTATTTTGGCCTGTTTTGGACATTAGAAAGTATTCATTCATTAACGATTGCCTTTTTAACTTATTTGTAACCATAATTGAGCTATGATTCATAACCTATGAATAATGTGGTTTATAGAATAGTTACAGAATAGAGTGTATTATACATTGATTTGTCACAAATTTTGAGCCAAAATGTGTTCATAACATATAGTTTTGACAACACTGTAGTAAATGAATTACATCTGATAACTAATAACTAATTACATTGAGTCTAATCGCAAAACTAGTTTATAATGTTAAAAGTTAAGTCAATAAAGTGGTAATATTATATTGTTATGTAAAAATAAGATAACTGTAAGTTATTTTAACTGTTAATTATTACTTCATTTCACAATTATTAAAGCTTCAATTCTTCATAATTGCCAAGTAACAGTAAAATTAGTTAATAAAAACACCAGCAATTAGTTTAAGTTTAAGGGTTCGAAGTATTTTCCCGATTTTAGCATATTTTGAGAAAACTCCCGAAAATCTTATTTTTTACCAAAATATTCCCAAAATCACGTTTTCAAGAAAACCTAAAAATATAGCTTTCAATTGAAATTCTTAACAAATTTTTAGGCAAATTCTACAAAATATTATAAAATTCATATAATCTGATAATATTGGTGTAAATAATATATATTTAGCATGACCATGTTGCCGTGTAGATGCAATTACGAAATTGGGTAATAGTGTATAAAAATAATTATCATTTAGCTTACAGTAATAGAATAGTATTACTGGTATATATTGTTATAAATAAAGTAAAGTGAACCAATGTTTATTGGCATGAAGTTACTCGAAAATACAAAATGTGCAACAAAATAGATAGCGTTTATCAGTTCTTACGATCTTAATACTTGTTTTATAACATTTTAAAAGTATAATTCATTTTTAGATTATTAAACTGCATTATTACCATGGTATTGTGTCAAAAACAATTACAATTGTAAAAGGTAATGCCCGAATTTGACCCTGTCTCTTCGGGTTCCCGACACAATTTGGATGTTTTTATTCCCGAATAATAGATACTCTATTAATAACCATAACTTACATTGTATTTAAAGACTTGTGATATGTTTGATCGCTAAGCAACTAAAAGTTGTGAATTTCGTAACTTTACTGAAATAATCGATAAACTTATTTATAAATGATTTCATTTTGTTTATTGTTTTGATTGAACCGAAAGTGATCTAAAATATTATGGTTAGGGTTGCGGTGATTGGCGTCGGCACTCTTGGGGTCAAAATTGCCGGTATTTTAATTAACATTATTTTATCTGATTATGTATTTTAATTTGAAATATTGTAGATATTTATTGTGTAATACAGAATAGTTTACAGAATGAACACTAATATTACAGAGTAGTGCTTATTCTGTAAAATTGTTATAAGAATTGTATTAAAAGAATAATTATATACATGTATGTTGTTATATGAATTGAATTTGAAGGCTCGTTAGCCTATGGGGGACATGAAGTGCGAGTTCAGGACCAAAACACGATTACTCTCAATAAAGTATCTCTTATTATAAATGAAGACAAAAGAATACTCAAAGAAGACGGACTCATAACTAATACTAATTTTCTCGTAATATATTGTTTTGCGAATTGATATGAATTGAAAATATTTCTAACTCAATGATTGATGCGAAGGGAGAGGTATATTGTTTCACAAAACTAGAGGATGCCGTCCGGGAGGCGGAGTTCATCTTTGAATGCGTTACTGAAGACATTGTCGCCAAACAGAATATATTCAAACGTATGTCTTCATCGTCTTGTAGTCCCTTTCAAACAAATATTATTCAATTATAAAATTTGTTTTAAACAGAAATATCGATGTGTTGTTCTGATAATGCGATTATAGCCACGAGTTCTATGCGATTATCCGTCGATCAGATCATTGAGAATATCAATTGCAAAGATGTCTGCAATATATTTATGACATTTTATGCCAAATACTTATTGTTTTGTATTTCATTCAAAGCGTTGTTTAGGCGTCCGATTCTTATATCCCGTGTATTTTGTACCCGAAGTGGAACTCTTGCCGTCGAGAACCTATACATCCCTTCAAACTTTAGAAAGAGGTTTAACTTATAAATTACTCGACATTTATTTAAATAAGTTATAATACAAATGTATATAATATTTATTTGTTTTGATAAACAGTCCGTCAATTCTTGGAGAAAATGGGAAGAATTGCTTTCTTCAGATCTGGAAACGAACCGATAGTTTTAAATGAACAGCAAAGAGAGGCTCGAAAAGCAGGTACTCTTTAGCATTATATACAGTAGTACTGTATATACTTTAATCACATTTAACTAACTCTCAAATTGTCGGCAAATATTTTTTGATAGCATTTGTGAGACAGTTATATGAAAACAAAGGTATAAATCATAGGTTTGCGCAAACAATCCCAGATTTAGGTGCAATGAATTCGACCAAAACTGAAAGTGAAAGCGAATCCAGTAGTGATCAACAGTCGCTTATTATACGCGATAAAGAATGTGTTATTTGTATGGATCATCAAAGAGGTATCAATCATTTCAACCATTTTATATAATAATTATAGTTTTGTCGACAATTTATTCTAGTTATTTTCCGAGCTTTCTATATGTAATCTATTCTTTTATTTTTAATTTTATAAATTAAATCATGGGTTTTATAAATAAATATTGAATAGTTTTTTAAAATAAATTTACGGTCAGATCAATGAGTATAAGATAATGTGTGGAAATAATTAGTTTTGACAAACAAAGCTCGGCAAATGACTCGATTATTATTGATAAAATGCATGCATTTTCACTGCAATTGACAACAATATGTAAATTGTATGACCAGATTGTGTGTTACATCCGTGCCATCACTTATGCGTTTGCATACAATGCGGACGTCTTTTGCTGAAAAGATCGGACAGTTGTCCCATTTGTCGCCGAACTATCAATAATGCCTTTCGAGTCTATCACTCGTAGACTCATTCAAACCATTTCAAATTTCACTGTATTTTAAAGTATTGTTAAATGCATTTGAATACAGAATTTGTCAGTTATACAACTCATTTTATTTCACATTTAAATAAATTAAATAAATTTTCAGTAAGATTTTGCGTTGTCTTGGTGTAAATTAACTAAATCCACTAATTCATCATTGTTTAATGAAAATGTATTAGTGTAAATTTATATTTGTTATAAGTTATAACTTATAATATATGAGATTTGGTTCAATTGAATACATGTATTGATCATGAATACAATGATCTCATCATTTCAACCAAGCCTGACATTTATTGTAAAGGTCTTTACATGTATTTTAGAATATTTTAATTGATTAGACAATTGTTTAAAAAAACATTATCTGACTTCAATAGTTTGTAATTAAATAATTGTTCGTAACTTATATGTAATGCAAACATATTGTTGTATTTATTAATATTGTGTATTAATAAATCTATTGTTAATATAGCACTAATTAAAGTTATATAAGTTATATGCCCAATGATTTGAAGTGAAGACAATATTACTATCCAGGTTTAGTGCAATATATTTTAATAAATGTAACATTTAAACAAACATATTTTAATAAAATTAATAATTAACCGAAAGTTTTAATTTATTTGTTAATATAGTGTAATTTGTACTTTTATTATATTGTAATTATTTATACATTTATCAATATAGAATTTAAAATAATTATATAAATTTATATAAAGTTCTTATTAAAAAAAATATTAAAATTAATTAAATTATAGTTTAATTGTTAATAAAT